GCTCTCTGGGGTAGGGGCCTTTACCACAGGCGCGCTCATTGGCCAAAGATCAAGCGCGAAACCAATCAGCGCACGGCGAGGGTGGCCGAGGGGAGGTCGAAGCAAGCTGGTTCGATAAGACTGGGAGGAGGAGAGAGGAAGGAGGCAAGGCTCCAAGGTAGGATAGGCTATAAGCTTTGTCATTCAACATGGTGTGGCTATTGTTCGCTTTGGGATTAGGCCACGGGACTCTCACGTCAAGTATTTCCCTTAGCTGCAGTAATTTCCCTCGTCTGCCGCTCATTTTGCTCCCACCCATTTCTAATAATCGCTATCCCAATGGCTAGAATTCCCTTCAATCATCTCAACTGGCTTGTCATAGGCTACTATCGAATTACCAATAGTATCAACGGGGTCTCTACACCAAAAGGGGAAGAGCTTGACGTAACTCTGAGGGACTGACGTAAACGAAGCCTCCAAAGCCCATTGGTCAACGCTCAACGCGGCATGGATCCTGAAGCCCAATTGGACCTCCATTAAAAAAACCGCGGGGTGCAGCGTCGTCGCTGCTCCTCCAATCAATGCTCGCCTTGTGCTCAGGCCCGCATTTTAATTGGCTGGTTTGAAAAAATAAAAAATTCTTTTATTCCTCTCTCAATGTTCTCCATACTATTTTATTGCAAGAAACAAACTAGTCATTTTAATGAGCATATGAGCAGGGGTAATAGAGTAGAAATGCTAGTGCGCGGAGAAATTGCATTGATCTCTGTTCAAAAAAATCTACATGGCAAATATTAAATAAATCATGGTTTATCCTGTTGTGCAAATATTTACGATGTAGATTGGATAAATCATGGCTTATTGGATTATACCATTTGGTTGGATGTCCACAACATATGAACATTGTAATAGCCAATCATGGTTTAGCAATCTGTAGGCCAGAATAGCCACATGGTGTGGCTTGACTGTTCAATCAGGTCAGTTGTTGTCAGCCCTTCCAGACTAGGACGCCAGAGTTATGAACGCTAATACTACTTTATTATAAGGTTACAGTAACAGAATCTTGCAAGTCTGAATGTGCTTCCCCCCCCCCTTTGTTTTCGTGAGAACTAGGGA